GAGGGCTCCGGGAGGGGATTTCAGCTACGGAAAGGAGGGACAAAAGTGACCCACCTTTTCTATATGGATGACCTCAAGTTATTCGCCTCCAGTCGCTCCCATCTTGTGGAATTGCTAAACATCACTTGTGAATTTAGCAATTCCATTGGAATGGAGCTGGGGACGGATAAGTGTGCGGTCCTCCATGTTGAAAGGGGAAGGGTTACTAACTCTGAGGGCATAGACTTATCTATGCCAGTCAACTTAAGAACCCTTTCCGAGGCTGAAAAATACCGATACCTGGGTATGTCACAGAACATCGGTATCGATGAGGCTGGTATGAAACAGTCAGCGACATGTTTTATGCATGCCTGACCAAAGTGCTTAACAGCCTTTTGTCCGGTGTGAAAAAGGCACACGCATATAACGGCTGGGTCATGCCTGTCCTCATGTATACCTTTGGCATACTCAGGTGGACTCAGACTGAACTTAACGCCCTGGATAGAAAAGTTCGCACTACCATGACGTCATAGGATGCATAATCCGAGATCGTCGGTAATGAGGCTGTACTTGCCGCGAAAGCATGGTGGGCGTGGCTTCCTGAGCGCGCTCACCATGCATAATCGCGAAGTGTGCAGCCTCCGTGATTACTTCCTGGCGAGATCGGATGATCCATTCTATAAGGACGTCATTTCTTGTGATAAAGGACTTACCCCTCTATCCTTAGCCAACGAGCAATGGCAAGACCCGGCAGTGCAGAGCATTTCCGACCGGGAGACCGTATGGAAGGAGAAGGAGCTCCACGGGAGGTTCTACAAGGCTCTACATGAGCCTTTCGTAGACACAGTAGCCTCCCTCCACTGGCTATGCTTTGGTGACCTCTTCGGGGAAACCGAGGGTTTGTCGCAATACAAGGAGATACATCCTAAAGGATGGCACCGTCGACATCTGTCGAGCTTGTCGCCATCCCGGTGAGTCACTTAGGCATGTCATCTCCAGTTGGTCGGCGCTTTCTAACTCTGAGTACTTGCACAGACACAACCTAGTAGCCAGAACTCTTCACCAGGAGCTTGCTCTGAAATACGGTCTCGTGGATCGGAAATTGCCGTATTACAAGTACTTGCCGGAAGCCGAAAATGATCGCGCCAGGCTCTATTGGGACCGAGCCATCATCACAGACAGGACTATTCTTGCGAACAAGCCTGATATTGTGCTGATGGACCGGGCACAGTCATGGATATTTTTGGTCGACATTACCATTCCGTATGACGAGAACCTCGTGAAAGCCGAAACAGATAAACGAACAAAATATCTGGACCTGGCTCACGAGGTGACCGACATGTGGGGTGGTCTGCCGACCGAAATTATTCCTGTAGTCGTCTCTGCAAACGGGCTAATCCCAGTCAGCCTCTCGGGTCATCTGAGGCGGCTGGGACTACGTGGCGGACCGCTCCAGGCTCAAATGCAGAAGGCGGTGCTCCTCGATACCGCCCGCATAGTCCGCCGATTTCTTCCCCTTTCCCCCTAACCTTCGGCCGTTTGGTCTCCCCTGCCGAGGGCCTCCATCTGGTTGGGCTTTTATTTATTTATGTATTTTTATATTTATTTAATTTTATTGATATTTATGTATATTTATCTTTTCATTTCCATTTATAATTATATATTTATAGAACCCAACCAGATGAGAAAACTATATTGATACCCCCCATCATCATCATCATCATCATCATCACAGCCCTTCACAAGTCCACTGCTGAACATAGGCCTCCCCCAAGTAATGCCACAAAGCACGGTCCTGAGCCACCTGCATCCATCGACTTCCTGCATATCTTACCAGGTCGTCACTCCATCTAGTGGGGGGTCGCCCTACACTACGCCTACCGGTACGAGGCTGCCACTCGAGAACCTTTCTTCCCCATCGGTTATCGGTTCTTCGAGCTATATGGCCGGCCCATTGCCACTTCAGCTTACTAATCCGTTGGGCTATGTCGGTCAATCTGGTTTTACTGCGGATATCCTCATTTCTGAGTCTATCACGCAGAGAAACTCCGAGCATAGCCCTCTCCATAGCTCGCTGAGCGACCTTGAGCGTCCTCATACGGCCAGCAGTGAAGGACCACGTCTCTGATCCGTAAGTCATCACTGGCAACACGCACTGGTTGTACACTTTAGTTTTCAGAGATTGAGGTATACCTGACGAGAAGATATGTCGTAATTTCCCGAACGCTGCCCAGCCGAGTTGAATCCGTCGATTGACCTCTCGGTCGAAGTTGGACTTACCTAGTCGGAATATTTGTCCCAGGTAAACGTACTCGTCAACAACTTCGAGCATAGTGCTCCCAACAACTACCGGCATAGGTGTGACATGGACATTAAACATAATCTTTGTTTTGTCCATGTTCATCTTAAGACCTATCCGTTGGGAGGCACTATTGAGGTCATTGAGCATAGTGCTTAAGTCCTCCAGCGATTCTGCCATAAGGACTATATCGTCGGCAAATCGAAGGTGAGTGATGTACTCGCCATTGATGTTAATACCGTATCCTTTCCAGTCCAGTAGCTTGAAAACGTCTTCCAAAGCAGCGGTGAAGAGTTTCGGGGATATAACGTCACCCTGTCTTACACCTCTCTGCAGTTGGATAGGTTTCGAGCTCTGGTTCTGTACTCGGATAGCCATCGTAGCCCTACTGTACAAACACTTCAGCACTTCGATATACCGACAGTCAACTTGGCACCGCTGAAGGGACTGCAGCACCGCCCAAATTTCGACGGAATCAAAGGCTTTCTCATAGTCCACATACGCCAGGCAAAGTGGCAAATTGTACTCTTCAGTCTTCTGTACAATCTGCCGCAGGGTATGTATGTGGTCTATGGTACTGAAGCCGGCTTGTTCGGGAGGCTGGAAGTCGTCGAGTCTGCGTGCGAGACGATTCGTAATGACTCTCGAAAACAGCACGTAGACGCGGCTCAGAAGGGAAATCGGTCTGTAGTTCTTTAAGAGAGCGTTGTCGCCTTTCTTAAGGAACAAGACCACCGCACTTCTGCTCCACGCCTCTGGAGTAGTGCCACCATGGAGGACGGAATTGAAGAGCTTCTGAAGGACTTCAAGTACCGGTGTTCCACCCGCTTTCAGAAGCTCCGCTGTAATTCCATCCTCGCCTGGGGCCCTGCCGTTTTTAAGGTGCTGGAGAGCCATTCTAATCTCGCTTAGACTGACGTCCGGGATATCATCGGAATGATACCCCCCAATAATAATAAACTTTATTTACATAAAATAACCCCGCCGGCACCAATGAAATTGTTAATTGCAATTTTAAGTGCTGATTTACCACGTGCTCGGCGGTGAAGGAAAACATCGTGAGGAAACCTGCATGTCTGAGAAATAAGAAAAAAAATATTTCGAAGACATGTGAAGTTCGCCAACACGCATTGGGGCAGCGCGGCGGACACTTCCCTGCCCTAAAACCCCCTCAGAAATGAGGAGAGGCCTGTGCCCAGCAGTGGGACGTATATAGGCTGTAACTTTACTTTTATCTTATATAAAAGTTAAATCAAATGATTGAATACTTTCTAGTATGTCCACGTAGCACCCATGCCGTTATTTCAATAAGTCCCTTCTGAGGCAAACCTTGTGAAAAAAAAGCAATAAGAAACACACCAAAGCACTATTTTTCTCCAGACAGTTAAAATTTAACATTAAAAATATATAAACACATCAACTGAATCTAGATTATTTAAGACTTTACCTATAGTTTAAAAATTTTTACTTTCCAAAAAAAAGTTTTGAACCTCTTTCGCAAGATTAAAACCTCTTTTTAAAACGATTCTATTTTCAAAATATAAATTAAAAATATAAAAAAAATAAACAAAATACGACGGGCGGCTGCAAAATCTTAGATTTAGAGGGGCAAAATTGTTAGTTATGTCAAGGAAAATTAAAATTGTTCTACTGATATTAATTAATGAAAATGGATTAGAATGTTCTTCTTTTTTAATTTAACGTGCTGTAGGAGCTTTAAGAGTTATGTCACGTCGTCATTTGAGTCGAGATGAAATGTTATTAGCCGTGGGCATGCTAGAAAATGATGCTATTCAACGAGTCATTGCTGAGACTCAGCACTCAAACACACCAGCCAAAACGTGATATCAAGGTTGTGTGTCACGTTATCACAGTACTGGGGGTGTGCGTGGATGGTACACGGGTAGATATAGTATAAATACGCAGAGACAGGATCGATTTTTCCAAATGACCGCCAGAAGACAATTCTATAGCCTTTGTAGTAGTTGCATCGCTATATCATAGCTATATCATAGCGATGCAACTACTACAAAGGCTCCAGGAGGACCACCAGCTCCTGGTAAGTAACCAAACTGTGCGAAGGAGGTTGCATAAAGTTGGTTTTCATGCTCGAAGACCACTACGTGTTTCAGCATTGCATCGTGGCAATCATTGACAGTTCAATTTTAAGTAAGATCTATCAATTTCGATGTGTAATTAATGTAAGAGGTGGCAACACTGATTATTAATAATAAATTTCATAATTTTTTTTTCAATTTTAATTAAAATAATAGTTTTATAAGAAGAAATGATTTTTTTTTATCATACTAATTTTCATTCATTTACATTCTTATTTAAAACAAAAAAAATACGAAATGTTTTTTATTTTTTATTAAAGATCTTAAAATAACCTATCAATCTTCCATTTACTATATTAGAAAATTCTTCACAGATTTATAGATATGTGATGAAATATTAAATATCCCTAGATTCTGTTGATGTGTTAATGTACCTATATAGTTACGAAAGACGAAGGAAGCTCATTGTGTACAACTGTCCAAGCATTGTACATTTTTTTAAATAAATCATCAAATTTATAAATTTACTTTATTTTTACGAGAATGCTTTTTACGTGTCTTGAATTTATGCTAAGGCAACTTAATATTAAAGAAAATCTGGTTTTAAATAGTTATACTTGTACATCTATCCAAAACTGAGTCGCTAGTTTAATTTGTATGTATAGGGTCTACAAGACAAGCTATGCAAGGAAGGCATGTTGGAGGCGCTGCGGCTGAGCGGAGAGGATGTGGGCACTGGCACGGGGGTGGAGGGGGACCGGTGGGAGGTGCACTGGTCACGGCTCACGCTGCACGAGGTGGTGGGAGAGGGCGCGTTCGGCCTCGTGCGCCGCGCCACGCTCACTCCCGCCACGCAGGTCGCCGTCAAGATGCTCAAAGGTAGCTATCCAAAAAATTAAGCCTAAATCTGTTAACACAATTCCCGGAAGGACCTTAATAAATAATAATTGTTATTAAGTTTATATGCTTTATGTGGTAGAGCCATGCTGCAGCTTTATAATAGTTGTAGCACGAATGGGTCGGCTCGACCGTGGAAGGACCACGCTCTAGTCATACACACCTGCGTATTTCATCATGTCATCACGTTCAATTTTTTACTGCTTTTCAAAGTATTTATTATATTTTAAACACTTTTTTACTAATTCGAACCATTTTTCACGTTCATCACGTGCTGTTTAAAGGCTATCACAACTTTTCTGGCTCAGTTAATGTTATTCCCAAAAATCAATATTTGATGAGAGGTTCTCGTCAAATATCGATTTTTGGGAAAATAAAGGAATCACACATGGTGCGAGGTCTGAACTGTGTGCGGGGTGGGTTACGATTTCCACCTTTTCAGAAGCTAAAAATGGCTTTGTCTTCTTTATATTGTGCGGCGAAGCATTGTCTTGTTTCAATAGGATACCGGCTTTTTGGTCTAACTTTTTCAAATTTTTTCAAACAAATCTTATGCTCATCAAATGGTATCGTACAGACAGGACCCGTTTGGGAGAAAAAAACGCAATCTTTTTTTGCCCACGTTTTTTAACTGCCTCAAATTTGTGGCTTTGCTGTCGTCTTTGACACCCCTACAGAAGACAGTTGCTAACTTTTCTGAATGTAACAATTTATGCACGTTTTAAATTAAATTAATGTTATATTTTATTATTATACATTTCTAGTATTTAGTCTGTACGCTTTTTTACTTGAATTCAGTACTCTATAAAAGTTGATTACTAAATTGTTAATAGCATTTCTAGTGTTCTTCCTTAAAGAAATACAAAGATTTTATTTTTTAATTCATCTGCCTAAGCTAATATTTCATTTGGCTGAAATGGTGATTAAATTCTATATTTAATCGAATATATTAGAATATGAACTTTAATAACTGAATACACGATCAGTTTTCTTTCCTGCATAATAACATGCGTCTCAACGCTGACGCGCTCGTTCTTACGGTAGACGAATCATTTGTCACTTGGAAAAATCTAAAAGGCAAAGATAAACTATGGAAATATAATCTTTTCTGCACTAGTAGTGATCGACTAGTTTAATATTTTATATGTATCCTCTTATAATATTTAAATGATGGTATATTATGACGTAGAACTTTATGTTAACAGAGTAATATATATGTATTTTTTTTCTCATTAACTGAATACTAACCTTTGAAAGAAGCGACAGTAATATTAACATAGAATAAATAATAGTAATATTACATAAACACCGAAACTCAGTCGTAGTTTCCAATGCGATATTCGACTACACTGTCTTAAACGATATTCTTTCATACGAGTATCTCTATAAATATGTAATGTACCCTTTGAAATTTTGTACGTATAATATTTCACTTTTCAAGTTTATCTTGCATAATCCCTAAGAAAATAATTTTAAGTCTAGGTAAACCTGGTAAATGGTTTTTGATGTATAATTAGCACGATAGGCAACTTTAAGTTTAAATAGTTAACCGATTATGGTGCTTTTTACTCTGGAGGAAGTATACATATCACAGAGTACTTTATATACTTAGATATACAATGATCCACTCAAAAAAATTGCGAAACTAAAAAAGGTTCTATGGTTAAAGTTTTTATTAATCAGTATTTTAAAAGAACTCTCCACCAGCAAATACATGAAGTTTCACGCGCCTGAACCAATTTTCGAAACACTTTCCAGTACGCTTGAGACAACTCTTCAACGGCCTGCTCGAACGTTGCTAACGCTTTTTCCGGCGGTGAAAATTATATCCCTTTCAGCAGATTTTTTCATTTCAAATGAGTTGCTAAATCAAGGTCAAGAGGGTGACCCAAAGTCGTAACTGGTGTGCTGTCCAGGTAGACAAGCACGAATGGGCCGGCTCGACCGAGGAAGGGTCACGCTCTTACAGAATACCAGCGTGAAATAGTATCTTAATGCTGCTGTGTTTCGTATGGTGAGTGTAGAGAACCGGAGACCCTTTTTACTGGAAACGAGGTATTCCATCTTAGTCCTCATGGGTGACAACTTATCTGTATTTTGATTTGTAATCGAGATTCAAAGTTCGATGTAGATGTCTATGGGCCGCAGCAATCACTTACCATCATCAGGTGGACTGTGTGCTCGTTTGTCACCCTATCCTATAAAAAGTTAGCACCTCGTTTTCAGCGCTAAGTGGGCGGGCACATTGTCATGATGAAACAGAAGCCCACGGAGCCCCGTATTCGTTCGCTTGTTACTCACAACAGTGAACACATCTCTAGCGCCATTTGGCATTTGAGCATTTAGTAACTGGACCGTATAGATAAATTGTCTACAATGATGTTGTAGACACACCTGCCTCAAATTTAGTAATCATGTCAGGGCACCATTCGACGCGGGCGTCTGTGATGTTGTGCGGTACCCAACACTATAATAATTCTCTAAATATCGTTAACGCCTTCTTATTCAGTCTGCAATATGTGCTCAATGACTTACCTTATACCCGTAATTCGCCTAATCGTCCTTCCGTAACAGCCGGCAAACAGTAACAACTTGTTTCTTCTTGTTATTGTTAATCGACCATGCTGAAATTTGTTATACCAGTAGTACACGGTCTTCATAGAAGGACCTTTATGCCCTATTCGATGTCCATCAAACTATTCGCCCGGTTTCAGACGACATTTTAAAGTCTTAAAAATGATCGCGCGAAAATTTTTCAAAAAGAATTTCATTAAAAAAATCTGACTTTTTTAATGAAAATGAAACGCGATATTTCAGTCTGGTTCTTTAAATATGTAGATGCAAATTTGATATTAGAATATTCGTATTTTACTTGTAAAAAATAATAATTTGTTCAAAATAAATTATAACTGTTACTGGCATATATTCCATACAAAAACATATTTTTCTAAAACTTTCAGCGTGTTCAACCGTATATTATTATCTTAGTAGACTCAACAAACGCAGTTCACCCATCTTTTCATTTCTCGTGTCTCTTTTCCCATTATTTCACTAATAAAATGTTGAATGAACGCAACACGCATTCGCATGGCATGGCATGGCATACTCTACTTCAACGTCAATAGTGATCGCTTAATTGACCGTTTTAAATATTATTTATTTATTTATTTATTTAACATAATAAAATCACATAGTTACAGTTGTACAGTCTGCCAAACTGCTCAGCAGTTTGTTACCAGAAAAAATGCTCTCTCCTAATATGCAACAAAAAGATGGGAAAAAAATAGCTTGATACAAATATACTACATCTAATAAGTATAACCAACCAATAGTATTAATATAACATTAATCAGTAATTTAAAGGACAACGGCATTTTTCACACATGCATAAATATTGCTTGTATACATACACATAAACATACATAAGTATTACATTTTACGCTAGTAATATTCTAAGTCTATGCAGCTTGACCTATATGTTGTTATAGAATGGATTGTCACGATACATTCAATTTTTTACGAGTACTATTTATTAGTATAATGTTCTTTAACTAATTTTTAAACTGTCTTTTTTATGCGTAAGGCGTTCTTGCGGTAAATTGATAAATAAATTTTTGTTATTACGTGTTGGAACGTTCTTTTGCCATAATAATTACCACATTTATATTGTAATGTTATTACTTTGTGCGGTCTGCGCGTATTCTTATTGGGGATAAAACTACGCAATGCGTCACACAGAATTGCATAATACTTATCACATGTCGCAAATGATATTTAAAATATTTTTCATGGATCGGTATTAAATTACACTCCGGGAAGAGCTGCTCATAATTATCCCTAAATTTATTTTTGGGTTTGCTAATATTTTCATAAATCTAATTTGAAATTGCTTTAATTTATCTAAATATGTTTTAAATATCCTTCCATATGCTAATAATTCATATTGCAACGTTGACTCAACTAGTGCGTAAAAAAACAACATACAGTAAGGTTTTAGGTGTTACTTCCTTCAAAAAATAAAATTTACTTAAAATACCTCTTAATTTATTACACACCTGTTCTATATAGCTACCTCAGTTCACAATGTATTATATTTAAGATATATTTAATACTATTGCTAAGCCTAAGTATTTAATTTTTTTTTCAAATTCTATAACTGTACATTCACATTTAAGCATATTTTCGTGTTTACAGTGGTAACAGTAACCCACTGTCCTGTATTTTGTTTATTTTTTTCATTTTTAATATTATGCGGCGACGACATATGTGCATTCCTTTAATTTTTTCTGTGTAAATAATAATTCCATTGTCATGAGACCACTTAGTTATGTTGTTAAAATCACTTTGTATGTTTTTCTCTATTTAATCTTGATTTTTGTCAGCATAAAGGTTGCGCATGTAATCCGCTTACATTAAATTACATCCGCTAATATAAAAACAGCACAGTGTTTAATTACGTTACATATACTGCTAACATGCATTATATAGCCCACTGGTCCATATACGGATCCAGTAGGTACATCTGGCTTTACATTTTCCTCTTTTCCAGTAATATTTTAAATAACTGTCACTATTTTCCTATTTTGCAAATAATTACTTAGCCACCTGTCAATAGGACTGCGTATACCACATTCATCCATTTCTTTCAACAAGAGATTATATTCTAAATCTAAAGTGTCGAAAGCTTTTCAATAAATATGCCTGTCATGTTTCCTTTCATTTAATTTTTCATTTATATAGTCTGTAAAGTTAGTTATGGCTGTAGTTGTACTCCCATTTCTTCGAAATCCATGCTTGTGGGTTGCTTTTAAATTAAATTATAATGTTGGGTTCTCTTCATATATAATTTAAATTTATTAAGCATTTTTAATTTTTACAGATTTTCCCTCGGCGGACGAGGTGCGATCTTTCCGAGCGGAGATAGAATTGATGAAAAGCGTAGGCGCGCATCCGCACGTGGTGAGCCTCGTAGGCTGCTGCAGTGGCCGCCGCCCACTCATTATCGCCGAGTACTGCAGCCTTGGAGATCTGCTCACCTTCCTCAGGTGAAATGCTAATATTATGTACGGAATTGGGACTTAGCGTATTTTTTTATTACGCGTAGCATTTGAAATATTCATACAACTGATTTTTGAAAGTTTAAAAATCTAAGGCCACGTAAACACGGTCGTACTTTTCCCGTATACCGCACACTAAATTTTATCGAACATAGTAGTGGCAGTAGACAATATGTCAAACTGTTCACATGGAGTCTATACGAGAAAACGTCGTGTTCGAGATATATTTTTTGTATTCCGTATACCGTACCAAGTTGCCACAGAGAATGCCGCTCCTTGAAACGATTTTATCGAATACGACAAGCAGTGGCGCTTATGTTAATGTTGTCTCGTTCACACGACTCGCCATTTCTAATACGACGTTCGTCATTTCTAATACGACGTTCGTCATTTCTAATACGACGTTCGTCATTTCTAATACGACGTTCGTCATTTCTAATACGACGTCCGTCATTTCTAATACGACGTTCGTCATTTCTAATACGACGTTCGTCATTTCTAATACGACGTTCGTCATTTCTAAGACGACGTTCGTCATTTCTAATACGACGTTCGTCATTTCTAATACGACGTTCGACATTTCTAAGACGACGTTCGTCATTTCTAGTACGTAGGATACATTTTTCGAATCTTCATTCTCGATGCGGAAGGGTCTTTAAAAAAGGATGAACCCAGTACCTCCTAGGACGCTGCTTTCATCTCCGTCTATAAAATCTATACAACTGGCTACTTTTCATTCGATTTACCATATACGAAAAAATCGAATCGAATGGTTGCCGTGTGAACGTGGCCAAAGTGTTTTAATTGAAAAATTGTCAATGTTAATTTTGTCTTACTTGTCCTTTATTTTTTCTTTTTTCTTCTTTTATTCTTTTTTTTTATAAGAAATATTAGTAATCTTATTAATTAACATTACTAATATTCCTTTTAACCACTCCTGGTAAGCTTGAAACGCTTGTGTTAGGAGTGGTTCACGACAGTAGTCAAATGGCGGATTTGCAACCACGACCTTTTGAGTTCGCGATCCGCTCCCTGCTATTAGGCTACTGTCGCTTCAAACTTAGTATTTATTTAAACAACGTTTACACTCTCTGCTCATTCGTTTAGCACAATATTTTAATTTTTTTATAGAATACTAGTGACAAACGAGCACACAGTCCACCATCTGATTTTAAAGTCTATGGGCTACAGCATCCATTTACCACATAATATTTACTGTTTAAAGAATAAGTGACAAACGAACAAAGTTGACCGTCAGATGGTTAATATCTAAGTTAATATGTATGCACCATGGCATATACTTACAATCATGTAAGTGGTAAGCGAATGCTGTAGACAAACAATCTTCTTCGATTAAGAATCAAATGTAGATGCTTTAGTCACTTTTAGATAGAAATGCCTTGTTACCATTAAAAAAGGTATTTTTCTCATTCATGTGGAGAGGCTTAAATAAATAACTTTGCTATCATTTACCCAAAATTTCTTCTGGCTTTTGTCTTTTTAAATACTCGTACTAAAACAACACACCTTTCATCTAATCGCAACTTTTCAGATGTTCCTGGGACGTTATGCTATCAAAGCGTAATGCCAAATATTACAACAATAATAAAGAGAATGTGGAATATCGGAACAGTTTTTTTAAAGAAAAAGATCAGAAACAAAACAAAGCCGTTGCGAATAAACTCTACGACTTGCAGGGGGCTTGCGATGAACTAACTTTTCTTGACCTCCTTTCCTTCTGCAGACAAATCGCGATGGGAATGGAATTCCTTTCATCAAACAGAGTAGTTCACAGAGATTTAGCGGCGAGAAATGTGCTCGTAACTGGAGATAAGACATTAAAAATCGCAGATTTTGGTCTATCTAGAGACATTTATCAAGAGAACCAGTATAAACAGAAAAGCAATGGAAAGTTGCCCCTGAAGTGGATGGCGTTGGAGTCCTTGACGCATAGGATATTCACTAGTCAGAGTGATGTGTAAGTAATAGTTAACAATCTATTAAAATAAATTATTGATTGATACATGATTACTCAAAGTCTCTTATTAGAAGCATTAAAATCAATAAATTTGTACAACCGACTTCAATATAAAAACATAAGAACTTCATAAATGTAGTCGAAGTTAATTAAATACGCATTATTAAGAATAACTCAAAAACTACTGGTCAGATCTTGATCAAATTTCACCAGCTATCTAATTAAAAAAAATCATCAACATCGATTCACCTAGGAACAAGTTCTGAGGTAACACAAAAAATTTACAGTCAAATTGAGAACATCCTCCTTTTTTGAAGTCGGTTGAAAATATTGAATGATGAAAGTATTTTCGAGTTTTCAGTTTTATTTGTTACCATTATCGTTATTATCTTCATAACAGCCTATAAAGGCCGTCATAGACGGACTCGTATGGATATTTGACATAACTTTTTTCTATACGTGGTAGAGCCATGCTGCAGTTATATTAGTCGTATAGTTGTAGCACGAACGAGTCGGCTCAACCGGGGAAGGACCACACTCTCACAGAATAAAATAGTAGCTTAAAATAGTAAAATAGTAGCTTAATGCTGTTGTGTTTCGTATGGTGAGTGTAGAGAACCCTTTTTATCTTGTGACAACGCACCTGCATTTTAAATCGTAATCGAGGATAGATGTAGATGTCATTGGGCCACAGCAACCACTCAGATGGACTGCGTGCTTGTTTGTCACCCTTTCCTATAAAAAAAATAATCAAAACTTGGCAGGCGAGTTGGTGAACGGCTCCGTAGCGCAGTAGTTTAGGATTGAGTAGCGGGGCTGAGGGCTGCGGGTTCAGATGCCGTCTAAATCAATTATGTATATGTCGCAGTATGAAGGTTGAAAACTATATACCATCACATATAGTATGATGGTATATAGTTATAGATATATACCTGGGGATATAAATATATATCATACTATATACCGTATTTGAAAGTGGTTCATGGCTGACTTACTGAGAATACAACACGAGCACGTCTAGTAATATAATTATCTTACTAGATTAATTTAGGGAAACATTTATAATTATTTCGGGTTCCGTTTGATAGTCAAAATTCATAACCGGTCAAAACCACTTCTGCTTCCGACTGCAAACATCAGGCAAAGTAGTTTTGACTAAAGACGTTGGTCAACTAGTTTTAACTACTTTTGAATTATACGTTTTGAATTGTTCAAATTAAAAAGTTTTATTCATTCAATATTATATTTTATGTCTTTATATATTAGGTCTTTACCTATGAAATTGCCGTTTTCTATGAAATAAGTTAACATTTTTTGTGTTTCTATTAAAGTAATCACCCATGCAATCGATGCATTTTTGTCATAGCAGTGGCAGTTTATTGATGCCCTTCTTGAACAAAAAAAACAGGTGGACGGGAGGCAACAAATTTTTTAAAGGCATTTTGTACAGCCACTCGGGTATTGAATTTTTTCCCACCAAAAAGTTATTTAAATTCTTAAAAAGTAGAAGTCTGTAGGCACAAGGTCTTGTGAGTACGGCGGATGACGGAGGGCTAACAACCCAAGCTTTGGAGACCGTCAGTTGGGCAGAATGAAGTCACGCGTTGTCCTGCAGGAGCAGCGGGGACGATTGACCAAAGTTGGTTGGAAACGTGCGAGCTTCTCCACCATTGTGTTCAGATCTTCACGGTACATATCTGCAATTATGCTCATCCCGTTTGGTAAGAAGCTACGATGAATCATACCAGCGCTAGAGCACCAAACAATGTCAATCTCTATTCTGGGGGTAATTTTTCGTTAAGGACATTGTTTAAGTGCTGAACTAGGAACCAACCAACTTGCTGAGCGCTTGCAATTGTCAAACAGAATCCATTTTTCATCGCAGGTAACAATGCGGTTCAAAATTCCTTCGTTTGTCTTCCTTTTGAGCAGTGCAAGGCACGTCTCGATTCGTATTTCGCGCTGGCGATCATTGACTTCGTGGGGCACCCATTTGTCAATCTTTTTAGGTTTCCGTAGTCAACTAGGAACCCTTATAGTTTCGGCATGTCTGTCTGTACGTCTGTCCGTCCTCGCTTAATCTCTGTGACCGTTAGCACTAGAAAGCTGAAATTTGGTACCAATATGTGTATCAATCACGCCAACAAAGTAGTAAAATAAAAATGTTTTATTAGGGTAGCCCCCCCTATATGTAAAGTGGGAAGTAATTTTTTTTTTTAATTTCAACCCTAACGTGTGATATATTGTTGGAAAGGTATTTAAAAATGAATACGGATTTACTACAATCATTTTTTGATAATGTCAATAATTTCGGAAATAATCGCTCCAAAAGTAAAAAACAATGTGTGTCCCCTCTAACTTTTGGAACCATAAGTTTAGAAAATATGAAAAAAATCTGAAAGTAGACTTTATAAGGACTTTCTAGGAAAATCATTTTGAACTTGGATGGAAACAACAGTACCCACTACCGGGAGCAGTTGCAGGAGCGCGAACATAATGGATACCCACCTTTAAACTCATAAGTGGGAACACTTATTGTGACGAACGGAAAACTACGGAACCCTACACTGAGCGTGGCCCGACACGCTCTTGGCCGGTTTTTTACCTTACCAATTAGATGCAAATGGACCAATATTATTTTGATGCCAACGTCGAAAACTTTTGTCTAAAAAAATTGCCATTGCGTTTAGTTCTTCATTGTTGACCAAAGTTTTCGGACGACCACAGGGTTAATTTTTCAGATCGAAATTTCCAGAACGGAAGCAGGCAAATCATGTGGCGTTGCTGCCACGGCAGTACTCATATTCCGTAATTACTCGAATTTTTAACGTATATCCATGATGAAAAATATTCAAATTAGATGAAAACATAACGCTAATTTATTAATTGTGTATTAACTAATGAATAATTTAAAAAAAAGAATTTCATGTTTTTAAATTAAAATTAATAAGTAATTAGAATTCTTCGCTAAATGAAAAATATTTTGATTTTTATTGCAATTTCATAGGTAAAGACCTATTAATAATGCACGCGGCTTTAGGGTAGCCCAAGGGCGACCTCAGCCGCACCTCAAACTATTGTAAACAAATTAACATGAACAACAACACAACGGGACCTGAATATCGAATGTTGACAAAATTTGTTGGAAATACCCTTTTTAATTTTTTCAGCAGCTTTGTTTAAGTTGTTCACAGATGTCTGTTTGGTTCTGAATGTTTTTGTCGTTGTATCAATAATTGCACAACAGTTGCGAACCGTAAATTTCACCAAAATAGTGTGTTTATACTTCACACTTTCTGGCTCGTGCGACAGAACTGGAATAAACCAGCCCTTGTGACCTGCCGGTGGGTCGATGGATCCTAAAAAAAAAGGTTTTCGCGTGCTCTGATCACGAATCTGCGGTCCTTTCTTGCGTAGGATGCGTGGTTCCGGAGATCAATTAACTAATATCTAATTGTTTCCAACCTTTCCTTCTTTTATCTATTGTTTGTTGAATATCGTCATTACCGTTTCTTATCTATAACTCGTTGTAAACCCTGCTCAGTCCTATTGTATTTATATTTCTTTGTTTAACTACCACGCTATTCTGAATCGCCAATAAAACACGTTCTTAACTACTTAATTTTGTTACAATTTTTATTTCCCAAAATGTTATTGCTTGTATTTATAAAATAGGAGCGAAACACCTCATCCACTAAAATCTCGTTGTTATAGTGTGTTCCTGTAAATATGCTCGTTTAAACTATACTTTGAACGTCCCTGAAACTTATATAGCAAATACATTAAGCAATATTCACCATAGACTGAAGTCCACTTATTCTGAATCCTATCAACATTCCAGTCCCATCTATTACAATTCCTTTTTAAAACGGAAGGTTTGTTGATGAAATGTGAGCCTGGTTTATCATCTGTATCCAAATTGCATATTATATACGTTGAAACGTGTGTGTACAGTCTATAAGCAGCATAAACATTATTTTCTAGACTAGGGTGAATCTTTTTCAGATGTTGTTGCACATCTAGTGTATCCATGATATTACTGCTATTAGTTTTTTACGTTAGCAATCTATTCAATGGTTAACATATCCTGTACCTTTAAACGAGCAATTCTTGTATATATATATATATATATATATATATATATATATATATACGTGACCGGACACACTGTATATATACATATATATATACAGTGTGTTCGGTCACGGACTAGCGATATTTTAGGTACTTATAATACAGCTATTTTAATATAAAAATACACTACACACTGAGGTCTAATCCCCTCCCCCGCTATTTGGCAGCCATTTTGTTTTTCTTTTGAGATATTCTCTACGCTTTTACGAAAAAAGTCATATCTCTGAAAGTTTTAGTCTTACTGAGATAAAAATTAACTCATTCGGAGGCCAATAATATTGTTTATCGTTTACATTATCAAAATTTTTGTTGACATACTTGTAATTTTGAAGAAAAAAAATTTTACTTCAAATAAATATCAAAAAATATGCTAATCGGCAAATTATTGTAAATTACTGCAAAAACAACCCCGTTTACCCTTCTTATTTTTATACTAGATCGATAGATTTTGAGTTAAGCTACAATGCAACATAAAGTTTACAGCTGTATGTTTATTACTTTAAGAATTATTGTTGTTTGAACATGGCGTATGCCCAAACACAAAAGGCCTTTGTTAAGTGACAACTGGCACTGCCTGCCTAGGAGTAATAGTGTTCTTGTGCTGCCTGCTCTCAAATTATACTACCTATAAATGATGATTCTGATTCTCTAATCTCTAATTCATCATCTCTAATTCATCGAAGATCATAAGTAATCTCAGATTACTATTACTCCTAGGCAGGCAGTGCCAGTTGTCATTTAACAAAGGCCTTTTGTGTTTGCATATGCTATGTTCAAACAACAATAATTCTTAAAGTAATAAAGATACAGCTGTAAACTTTATGTTGTATTGTAGCTTAACTCAAAATCTGTCGATCTGGTATAAA